CAGACGCAGCTGGCTCGCTGTGCTCCCAGGAGTGCTCACACTGTAGCTACCGGGCGCAGAGCCCCGGACTACTCAGGCCACAGGGGGTCGTGGCTCTCTGGACTACCAGGAGTGCTCACACTGTGGCTACCGGGCGCAGAGCCCCGGACTACTCAGGCCACAGGGGGTCGTGGCTCCCTGGACTTCAGGCGCTGCGGACGACTAGTCGGCTACCTCCGGTCAACCTCCCCCAACTGTCCCACACCCCGTTCACACACTCCCTGTTGAACCACTAGCACCGCTCACACGCCACCCCCCTCGTACCACTCCGACGGCTCCAACACATCCACCCCCCTCAGCGGTAGCTGCAGCAGTGGGAGACGGAGGAGGAGGAGGAGCAGGGGACGGCTCACACACACGGCACCCCCATACTCTCCACCCCCAAACCCTAACACAGGAACGCGGGCAGCAGCAGGGGTGGGGCGCCGCCAAAAGCTCGGGGGACGGCATGCGGCACTGGGACAGGCTGCCCGGGGCGCGCACGGGCCTGGCGCAGGCCGGACGAGCCGGGCGACGGGGGGCGACGCGCGGGTCGCGGGGCGACGCGACGGGCTCCGGCGGGGGGCGACGCGACCGTCGACGGGGCAGAAAACCGCCGCGCGCCCCGAGCGCGCGGCGGGAAGAAAAATCGCCGCACGCCCGGAGCGCGCGGCTGGCAGGAAACAGCAGGAAACAGCAGCGGAAGCTTCTGGTGGGACCACCCACAGGATCGACCCAGGAGGGTCGACCTGCTCTGATAGCATGTTAAACAGGCTAGGCGAAAACGAGAAATAGGCAAAGAGGGATTTCACTAGCAAGCAGTTGAGTACATATAGGAAACCCTAATTCGGGTTGTACTCGCTATAGAGTACCCCACTGCAGGCTAGACAACCATCACATTCTAACACGAAGACAACTGGGTTCCCCTGGCAGAATTGAGAATCACCCCGTCCTCACCGAGTACATGCGAAGCCGAAATTTCCGGTATGTACACGCGCTTTCGTAAGGAGGGCCTCCTTAGGGGGGGAGGGAGGGGGGGGGGTGTAGTGTAAGGAAAATTCCTTTTCCTTACTCCGCGTCCCTTCTCAGCGCGTACACCACTGTTCGCGCCACTAGCACTCAAACAGTAAACCGTTACCACTCGCAACACTCGCCTCGACACTGTTCCTCCCACTGTTCACGCCGCGACCCAACCTCACGGCTCGGTTGGTAACCCGCGCTCCGGACCTCCGCCTCGGCGTTTCCCCACCCTCGGCGCTAGGCCCGTCGCGCACCCCAATTCCCGCACATTACCGTTACCACTGTAGTTCCGCTAAATATTCTTCGCTCATGCCTTCGCTCATTGTACTCTTGCTTCGATAGTGCAATTGCTTCTAGCTAGCTCGCTCAATTGCACTCGTAACACGAGCCACCTCGGTCTCGTCCGAGCACCACACCCGAACCTGAGCTGGTACCCGAGCCGAAATGCTGATGCGCCAGTCGAACAGGGCCAAGTAGTGCGGCAACAGGGCAAGGTCCTTCCTTCCCCTTCACGCCATCCCCCGTTCCATCTGTTTCAACAACCCTAACTGCTCCAACAAGCAGGGGACACAGCAGGACTGACGCGACAGCGGCATGTCGTAGTGGCCGTTTTTAGGGACTCCAAGTGGAAAACGGACATTGCGCGCGCAAGGTTTGAGAAGCAGTAACGTCGAGATTTGCATTTGTAACAGCACTGAGGTCGCAGACGTTGCACGGAGGTCGCACAGAGGTCGCAAGGCGGCCACACAGTTGCACGGAGGTCGCACGAACGGCCGCAGGAAACTCGCATGGTGTAATGGCGTCGTCGTGGGCTCAGCACGCGCCCGTATTTGGCGCGCACTGCAGCCAATTCTCGGTGGAGCAATGTCCGCTTGGCGCGCAGGTCCTAGCTGCATCATTATCGCATCAGTCGCCGTCCCCGTCGTTTGCCCATCACCGTTCTCGCCAGCAGCACGACTCTGCGACGTTATGCGACGAAAATCCGTCGCTTGATTTATTCGCGGGGAGTGACGTGGCAGCGGAGTTCTTGAACCTTCTAGACGCCATCACGGACGACTCGCAGTCAAACGGGACTCCCATCGGCAACACCGGTTCACAGCAGCATCGCGATGCTAACTTATTGCACCACCAGCAGCAGCATCAGCAGCAGCAGTTGTCGTCCGCACCGTTTTCACCTGCCGCCTCCGCCGCCGATCCTGCCACGGCCATTTCCGTTCCCGCCAACGCCGCTGCTAGCTTCTTGGCCGCAGCGCCAGGTTCGGTCGGCGGTGGTGCTATGACGGCAGCAGCAGCAGCAGCGCCACTGAAAAACCCTGTGTCTCCGCGGAATGGGGAGTCGTTCAATTTATTGGAGCCGGGGACGATTCACGACGAGGCTGCGGAGTGTACGGCGCCGCCGGAGTGTGCGGCGCCGCCGGAGTGTGCGGCGCCGCCAGAGTGTGCGGCGCCGCCGGAGTGTACGGACCCGGCGGGGCTCAACTTGAATGGCGGTCGCTCCGACGACCCAATCGACGATTTCCTCGGCACTCTGCTGCTCGCGGATCCGCCGTGCGCGGCAGGCGATTTGCTTGTGTCGTCGCCTTGCCCGTCCGCCGCTGCGCCTCGCGATCATAGCCCGCCGTTGCAAGGCGCGCCGACGGTTAGCCAAGGCGCAGCGGAAATGCGGGAGTGCTTGCGTCCGGACTCGTTAGTAGCACCTCCCGCCTCTGCCTCGTGGGCTTCGCTGCCGTTGCACAGGGAAGAGAGTCACTCGCCACTGCTGCTGCAGCAGCAGCCGCCGCAGCAGCAGTCGCCACCGCAGCAGCAGCCGCAGCTTGTGATGACGACGCCAGAAGGGAACGAGGCGTTGCATGAATGGGTGCCTTGTCTGCCAGTGGATGTTTTCTCAGGGAGCGAGGGCGAAGCGGCATGTGCGGGGACTTGCTGGAGTGGCAATGCAGTGGGGGGAGTGAGCATGGGCGGAAGCAAGGCGGGCGGAATGGGCGGTGGGGGAGGCGATGTGCAGCAGGTGCAGGATTCGGCGCCGCCTGTGGAGCTTTCTGGCGCCGGCCTTTTTGACTGGGCGCATGTGGAGGGAAGCGGTGTTGGGAGTGGGGCGACAATCAGGGAGCGGCACGAGGATAGTGTGAGTGGCAATGGCAATGCCAATGCTACCACTGATGATGAGGATGGTGCGGCGTTTTGGGGTGCTGGTGCTGGTGATGCATGGGAAGGACAGCAGGTGGGCGAGCTGTTGGGTGCACAGCAACGACAGAGGCTTAATATTCATAGCAGCAATAGCAATAGCAGTAATGATAGCAATAATAGAAATAATCATCATCAGCAGCAGGAGCACAGCAGCAGCAGCAGCAGCAGCAGCAGCAGCAGCAGCAGGAGCCGCAGCAGCAGCAGGCGGTGTGTGGCAGCACACCCGCGTGCGCGGCAGTTGCCCAACCTGTCAGGGCGCCTGGCAGCTCTCATAAGCCAAATAAGCCACGCCAGCAACGCCAACGCCAAGGCTAAGGCCAAGGCCAAGCGTAGGGCGGGTCAAGACGCTGCAGCAGCTGCAGCAGCAGCTGGCGCAGGGGAAGTGAGGATGGTCCACGAGCAGGCGGGTCTAGCAAATGGCCTGGAGCGTGGGTTGGAGGAGGGAGGGCGAGAGATTGCGTCGAGCCTGCATGGGCGAGTCACAGGCGGTGGTGATGGGGGTAGGCTCGCATTTGGGCGTGGTAGGGGTGGTGGTGTGCAGGAGGCGCATGGTGAGGAGTCAGGCAGCAAGCGGCGGGCAGCGTCGCAGGTCCCTCCCTCCGCAACACTCAGCTCTCAGCACCTTGCTGCTGCTGCTGCGGCACCTGCCTTCCCTCCTAAGCCCACCACCAGTGCTGCTGCTGCTGCTGCTGCTGCTGCTGATGCTGCAGGAGGCGCTGCTGCAGTGGCGCCGTCCCTACCCCACGCGTGGTTACTGTCCGGGTCAGGTCCAGACGGCCTGTCAGGAGAGGTGGATCCGTTTCTCCTCGCGGAGCACATCAGCCGCTGTGCGCCTGCGCTCGCCCTCGCCCCCGCCATGCTCGCTGTCCCGCACGACCCCTTTGCCGCACCGCAGCTGCAGCCGCCCTCTCTCGCTGCGGTTCCGTACACACGAGCTTCCTCCCAGGCGCTCTCATGTCATCCCCTCACATACCACTCTCTGCTGCCAACTGCGCTGCCCGGTGCTGCGGCCAGCAGCAATCTAATGCGTGGTTTCACATCAGTGAACATATGCATGCCCGCGCCCACACCCATGCCCATGCCTATGCCCATGCCCACGTCCATGCCCATGCCCACACACATGCCCTTTCACAGGTCTGTGCATGAGGCGATGGCCATGGCAGTGCCTCGGCCTGTGCGGGGGCGCGTGCACAAGGGCAAGAGCGATGTGGGCATGGACGAGGTGAAGCAGCTCGTGCTCGCCCTCGCTGAAGCCATCGCCACCAAAGACATGGTCAGTGCCCGCTCCCTGCTCACTACTCCTCCACTGCTTTCACCTCACTCCCTCCTTTTCTCTCTCCCTCCCTCCCTCCCTCCCTCCCTCCCCTCTCTCCTCTCCTCCTCTCTCTCTCCTCCCTCCCTCCCTCCCTCCCTCCCTCCCTCACTCACTCCCTCCCTCCCTCATCCCCTCTTCCCCTCAGTTCTCTCATCACCGCACACGCTCTGTGCTCCGCACCTTCCCAATCCAGTTCAATATGCGTCGTCCTCTTGCGCACCCATCAATCTTCTTTCTATCATATCATCCCATCTACCCTGTACCGCCTCGACCTCTCCCCTCTCCCGCTGCTAGCCCGACTTCCTAACCTCCCTTCCCCATCCACAACACATCTTTTCTAAATGTCCCAACACTCCGATGCTCGCATTCTCCTTACTCCCCTCATCCCCCCCCCAAACCCTCCCCCCCCACCCCCTTTCTCCCCCACCCCACACACCGCCGTGCGTCCCTCACTGTGCAGGAGCGGGTGGCAGGGCTGCGGGCGCGCGTGGCAGCAGCAGCGTGTGCGGAGGGGCGGCCGGGGCAGCGAGTGGCGCACTGCTTCCTGGACGCCCTCACCACCCGCCTGCACGGCACTGGCGCTCTCCGCCTCTACAACGCTGCCTTCACCTCGCAGGTACTCTACTCCCACATGCACGCACTGTGCGGATTACAACCGCCCAGCTCCCATGGCCAAGCGCCGAGCGCACGTGTGGTGTGGTTGCCTTGGTGGGATGTGATGTGGTTGGTTGCGGTGGGGTGTGATATGATGGGGCGGTGCGGTGCTGTGGCGTGCGCTAGCGTGTGGGGCGCGCGTGCGATGTGATGGGGCATGGACCATAGTAGGCTCGCTGCCCGTGCACATGTGGTGGGCGTGCCAGTCGTTTCCAGGCGGGGCAGCAGAGGTGAATAGTGTGCCACTCTGTTGTCACCTCACCATTCACTCCCTACTCCATCTCATATTCGCCCCTTTGCGTCTCCCACCACGTGCTCCCCCCATCTACCTGCTCTCTCCCTGTCGTCATACGCGCTGCCCCCTGTGCGCTGCCCCCTGCCAGGACATGCTCTCTCCCTGTCAGTCGCGCCATGTGTACTTCACCACCACGCCCCAACCTTTCTTCCTTGTCCCACCACGTTCCCCCCCGGTCTCCTCTCTCTCTCTCCCTCCCTCTCCCCCCTTTGCATGCCAGGACATGCTGCAGTCGCGCCAAGTGTATTTCACCACCACGCCCTTCATCCCCTTCCTCTACGCCACCGCCTATTCCGCCATCCTGCAAACCTCTCTCCGCTACTCTCGCCCCTCCCATCCCACTGGCACCGCCACCGCCGCTCGCTATCGTGCGTTCGATCCGTGCGCGCCTCACGACACCCCCCTTGGCTCCCCCATTACCACGCATCCTGCTGCGCCTGGCACCAGCAGCAGCAGCAACAGCCACTGCAGCGACGGCTCCAGAGAGGCTTCTTGCTCTGGGGAGGAGCAGCAGCAGCAGCAGCAGGAGCGGGAGCAGGAGCAGGAGTGGGACGAGCAGCGTGTGACGAAGGGGCGAGGAGCCAAAGGAAAGGCATGCGAAGGGGGGCGCTGCACATAGTCGATTTTGGAGTGTACCTGGGCGGGCAGTGGTCGCTGCTGCTGCGCCGCCTTGCCTGCCTGCCTGGCGGCCCCCCTCGCTGCGTGCGCATCACAACCATCGATAACTGCCTCCGTGTCAGCCGAGCTGCTGCTTCCCACACGCAGCGGTGCACAGCAGGAGCAGCGGCAGAGGCAGGGGGGGGAGCGGGGGACGCTGCGGGATGCGGAGCAGATGGTTCCATGGGCAGTGGAGCGGGAGATGTGCAGGTGGAGGAGGTGGGGGGTGAGGAGCAGTGCTGGATGGCAGAGTGTGAGCGGCAGAAGCACGAGGAGCTGGGGAGGAAGCTCACAGCACAACTCACAGCAGAGGCGGCCGCGCTGGGCATAGAGAGGTTTGAGCACCGCGTGGTGACGATTAACAAGGATAACCTCGCTGATAGCCTCTCCCAGGTGGAGGGCCGGCGCAGATGGGCGGGCACGGGGGCTGGGGTGGCGGAGGGACGAGGAGGGGGATGGGTGGAGGGGTGCAGGAGTGGGGTGTGGAGGAGTGGCAAGGGGACGGGTGTGAGGACGAAGTGGAGGAGGAGAAGGAGGTGGTGGCGGTGTGCTGTTGTTTGGAGTTGCAGTACTTCCACGACAGCTCTGTCATGCGTAGCAGCCCTAGAGATGCCGTCCTCAAGGTGCGCTGCCTGCTGCCCGCTTTCAGTGGTTGCATCACTGCCCGTGTGGGGCGGCATGGCATGGCACCGCACACGATGCTCGCAACGCTGTGTGCTGCACACAAATTCTTGCTGCCCAACCAGCCTCATCGTTTCGCATCACATCACCCCTGCCCTGTATGCGCATGCCCTTACGTGAGTTGCATCCCCTCATCTCTCCTCCCTCCCTCGTCCCCCCTACCCCCTCTTTATTGCCCTTGTGTGTTGCCCCTCCCTCCCTCGCGCCAGTGGGTGGCCTCCCTTGCCCCGGACATATTCACCTTCATGGAGTTTGACCTCTCTGCCAACGGCCCCTTCTTCCTCTCTCGCGCCTGCGCAACTGCCTCGACTGCCACGCTGCGCTCTTTGAGTGCCACGAGGGCCTCTCCGCATGCCCTGCCACAACCAACCACCGCCCCTGCCAACCAAACTCCACCAGCAGCGCAACCAGCAACCCCAGCAGCAGCACCACCACCTGTCACCCGACGCAGAGCCCTGTGCACAAGGTGCGGTGGGCAGTGCTGACACCAGCTGGTCCCAAGTCTGCATGTCCTCTCTCTCACAAGCCACTGAGAAGCCCGCACCACCTACCCCCACGCCTTCCCCCCTCCTCGAAGCACCCACTTACCGCGACCACATCCTGGCGTTTGAGCGGGCCTTTTTCGGGTACAACATTGTGAACATGGTGGCCACAGAGGGCATGCAGCGCTCCGTGCGCCCGGAGAGCCTGGCGGAGTGGGCGCAGCGCATTCGGCACGCGGGGTTTGTGCTGCTGCCCGTGCCGGCAGACGTGCTGGAGGAGGCGTATGGCACCATCCGTAGCTGCCCCCCTGGGCTAGGCATGCTGGCCACAGAGGGCGCCGTGCAGCTCACATGGCATGGCCGCCCTCTGCTCATGTGCACTCTCTGGCAAGTGCCATGGGTCATGGGTTGAGACCGTGGCCCAATCCGTGGCATGCCATGCACAGTAGATTTACTCATTTCTATCCTTTTCCTTCTCCCTCCCACCCTCCCCCTGCTCTCCCTACTGCATTTCTTTAGTGTTACTGCTCAACCTGTAACACAAACGATACCAGTTTCTTACGTAAGGTCTGACAGAAAAAATGGGTCTCTTAAGTCAATGTTGACTTACAGAATTGTGGAAATGAATTTTGCAATTCTGCAAACTACTCTTCACTCATAACCATCATTAACCCTTTCCGAAGTGCACAAGGAACTTCGTTACACTAGAAGCACTTCATCTGAAGTGCACAAGCAGGGCTCCCCCCCATGCTCTCTCATGTCGTACACTAGAAGCACTTCATCTGAACAACAGATGCACCAATCTCATTGAACTCGTCCCTGGTCATCCATATCTGCATCACCGGAAGGTCAAGTCAGCTCGAAGAACCAAGAAAGGAATAAAAAATCAGCAGAAAATGCAGGAAACACATACCAGCTCGGAGGATGCCATAGACGCCAAAATTGATCCACCAATCCAGGTAGTGTACTTCCGCTCAGGTACTTCAATCACTTTAGTGAACGTGGAGGGAACCAGCTGACTCACTTCCTTTCTGAGGCGAGCACCAATTCCAGGGAACATGGTGTTACCACCGCTGGAAACAATGTTACTGTACAATTCCTGCCTGATACCTTCCTCACACTTCATGATGCTGTTGTTGCAAAGCTCATGGATATCCGGGCCTTTGTCAGAATCTAGCAGCAGGAATGAATGAACTAACAGGATGCAGGAGTACAAGTAGTAAACCCTAATTGGGTTGTACCCCATATGGGCTATCCCACTACAGCCTAGACAATATGCAGCACATATAGTTTGACACACCCCCATAGGCAAAGTGGGGAGAACAAGGGGTCACACGACCAGTCAAGAGAAGCAAAACAAGCTCAGGGTGGATCACAATGTCACCACACATTCCGAGCACAAGCAAAGGACCACCGGGCCAGTTCACATGCAGAGATATATATGCAGCAATAACAGTACAGTGATGGCTACCTAGCAAGAGCCAGCATGCAGGTATATATATATGGATCACAGTACAAGCAGAGACTTTCAGAATAGCTAGGCAAGAATGATAGAACAGAGAAGAGGGGTTGTACTAGCAGCATGCAAGGTACATATAGGAAACCCTAATTTGGGTTGTACTCGCTATAGAGTACCCCACTGCAGGCTAGACAATTACAACATTCTGACACACCCCCATAGCCAAAGTGGGGTGTAATCAGCGCAAATAACCAGTCATAGATCAAGTCCACAAATGCAAGTAAAGCTAGAGGCAGTCACAGAGGGCAAGTGAGGAGGAGGAGAGACTGTGAGGGGCGATCTGCTGCAGACACAACGGGCAACAGGAGCGGCGTGCACAGTGGCTACCGAGCGCACGAGGGCACCGGACTACGGGAGTATCTGGCTCCGCGGCTACGACGAGCACACACAGGAGCAACTGACCCACAGGCAACTGGCGAAGCAGGCTCGCTGGGCTACCGAAACGCGCGAGGGCATCCGGACTACTGGCGCTGCTGGCGTCACGACGGCTACTTCCACGCAACCTCCCCCGACCGTCCCACGCCCCTCTCACACACCCCCTGCTGACACCCTAGCTCCACTTCCACGGCACCCCCCTTAAACCCTAAACCTCGGCTCCCACACATCCACCCCCCTCAGCGGCAGCTGCAGCAGTGGGAGACGGAGGAGGAGGAGGAGCAGGGGACGGCGCACACACACGGCACCCCCAGAGCTGCCACCCCCACACTCCGCACCCCCAAACCCTAAAACGGGCGGAACGGGGGAAGGAGCGCGGGGGACGGCGAGGGGGACGGCGCTCGGCCCCCAGAACGCGACCACGGGGCAGCGAGGGGCCGCGCGCGGCTCCCCAGGGCGGCGCGACGGGAAATCGGGGCCGCGGGGGGGTCGCGCGCGGCTCCCCAGGGCGGCACGACGGGAAATCGGGGCCGCGGGGGGTCGCGCGCGGCTCCCCAGGGCGGCACGACGGGAAATCGGGGCCGCGGGGGGTCGCGCGCGGCTCCCCAGGTCGGCATGACGGGAAATCGGGGCCGCGGGGGGTCGCGCGCGGCTCCCCAGGGCGGCACGACGGGAAAACGGGGCCGCGGGGGGTCGCGTGCGGCTCCCCAGGGCGACGGGATCGCGGGGCCGCGGGCGACGGGACCGGAGGGCCGCGGGCGACGGGATCGGGGGGCCGCGGGCGTCCCCCACGGTAGGAAACCGCCGTGCGCCTCGGTGCGCACGGCGGGGAGAAAACCGCCGCACGCCCCGAGCGCGCGGCGGGATGAAAATGTGAAGGTCGCGCGCCACGGGGCGCGCGACACAGAGTAGGGCAGCGGAAGCAGCAGTGGGGCCCACAGGCCAGGAGCGTG